GGTCAGCCAGTAATGGGAAATATTCAAGGGGCGTCTCCTTGATGATCGTTCTTTTTCTCTCTCTCTCTTCTCTCTCTCTCTCTCTCTCTCTTCTCTCTCTTCTTCTCTCTCTTCTCTCTCTCTTCTCTCTCGCTCGGCTCGGCTCTCTTCTCTTCCTCCCCTCTCTCCCCCTTTCTCTCTCCTTTCTCCCCCTTTCTCTCTTCCCCCTCTCTTTCCCCTCGCCTCTCCCCTCTCCTTCCCCCCCTCTCTCTCTCCTCTCTCTCCCTCTCTCTTCCCTTCGCTCTCCCCCTCTCCCCCTCTCTCTCTCCTCTCTCATCCCCTCTCTCTCCCCTCGCTCTCCCCCCTTTCCCTCTCTCTCTCTCTCCCTCTCTCTCCTCTCTCTCTTCCCTCCCCCCTCTCTCTTCCCCCTGCTTCTTCCCCCTCTATCTCCCTCTTCTCCTTCTCTCTGCCCCTCTCTGCCAGCCCTCTTCTCTCCTCTCTCTCCCCTCAGCTCTCCCCCTCTCCCCTTCTCTCTTTACCCCTTCTGTCCCTCTCCTCTCCTCATCTCTCCACCTCGGCTCCCCCTCTCCCCTTCTCTCTACCCTTTCTTTCCCCCTCTCTCTCCCCTCTCCCTCTCCCCCTCTCTCTCCCCCTCTCTCTCCCCTAGGCGCCGCTCGTCTGCAGCTATACGTGCCGTCAGCGCGCGAGACGGACAAGGGGAGATCATTTCCCGACACAACGTCATAGTATACGTCACGAGGCAAACACAAGAATCGGGTTACGGAACAGACGCGCGGTATTATATCATCGATATACAACCGAGGAGAAAACGCCGTTTCACTTTCCCTCGCTAGTTCCCGCGCGTTTAATTACTCGCGCATCCCATGGAGCGAAACGGGGAAGGGAGGAGTTGGGAAGGACAGGGGGATAGAATAAGGAGAGGTTAGAAAGCGGAAGTGGGAAAGCGGTACTACTTACCTTGCCTACTAGGCTTGCTACTGCTACTACTACTCACTCTACTGACTACTACTACTACTTACTACTACTACTACTACTACTGCTACTGCTACTTGCTACTACTTAACTAGAAATGCTACTGAATAACAATAAACTACTTAACTACTTACTTACTTACTACTACTACTACTACTTACATACTACTACTACACTACTACTACTACTACTGCGGAGCTGCTACTACTACTGCTAACTGCTACTGGCTACTGCTACTTGCATACTGCTTCTGCTACCTGATACTGAATACTGATACTGATAACTGCTACTTGCTACTGCTACTGGTACTGTACTGCTACTGCTACTGCTAACTGCTACTACTACATACTACTACTACTACTGTACTGCTCTCTACTTGCTACTGCTACTGCTACACTTGCTACTGCTCACTTGCTACTGCTACTGCTACTGCTTTACTGCTACTGCTACTGCTTACTTGCTACTGTACTACTACTACTACTACTACTACTATACTACTGCTACTACTGCTACTACTACTACTACTATACTACTGCTACTACTGCTGCTACTACTACTACTACTACTGCTGCTGCTACTGCTACTGCTAATTTATGGTAATTTTTTCGCAAGTATGGCCGCCAATGGGAAATGATTTCCCAGTGTAGTACCGGCATAAGGAGGCGGGGAAAATGCGCGAAAATTTGTTACACGCACGACTAATTTTCGGTACCGGTCGGCTTGCCACGCTTAAATAATTCAGTTGCGATGAGAAATTTGATCGAATTTGCGTTATACGCGACGTCATCATGCACATATATATTCGTTTCTCGCCGATGCGCGCGTGCGACTGCAATTTTCCCCGTTGCTCACATTAGTGGTTCATATTTATAGTCCTCTTCTCTTGCATTGTCCCTCTATAACCTTGACGATCCCACTATTTTTAAGCCACAATTGCTCGGGCTGTAATCTTTGAGCGGTGCATCCGATTTCTCAGATTTGCGATTTTTTTCTTGACGTTTCTCTCTGCTATATCATTTTCACTGATGTTTCGCTTGTAGGCCCGATCACTGATCCAAATCCAATCTCTTGTATCCTCATCTCATATACCTGACTCAAATTCGTACCACAAGGGAATTAAACGAGTCAGCCCGTGCCTAGATCTGTAATGTTGTAATGCAGGTGAAACAATAAAATGTCTCCTGAGCATGGTTGCCTTTCAGAAATGGATAAATTCTGGTGTAAAAAGGGTTCATACGAAACATTTGCAAAAACGCTGCGTAATGCTTATACAGACTGGCTACAAAATTCCCCGTTGCAGAGCCCAAACGGTCGATTCTCCACGACTTACGATGTCCATGTAGCTTACGGCGTCAGTCTAGGTTCCCTGTGACAGTCTATCCATGAATGTGATTGCTCACCTTGCGATTGCTCTACTCATCTTTAGACTGACTCCGCGTCGTTGAGCCCCACCCGGTTGACTATTATCGAGTGCGAGTCTAAGCAAACGGAGGCAGTCTATGTTTACGGTGTCCGTTCAGCCGTGCCTTGTTCACGGTGACAGCTCGATCTATTCAGCTGTCGACTGTGCACTAGGCAGCTGCGACGCGGATCGTTCATCAGTTCGCTGCCAGGAAGCCATACTGGTCAGCCCCCCCTCCCAGAGAAGGAGTTAAGCATGTGACAACACGCGTCGGCGCCTCGCTATTCACCTGCCGCTAGCTCGGCGTTTGCTGGCGGCCATTTTGAAATTCAAAATGGCGGTTATCGAGCGATAATGATTTTGATTGCAATGGGTTCCTTGACCGCGATGATATTGGTTTAGGCACCAAAATCATGTTTCTATGTTGACTATTAGCTGAGAAATGATGGTTAATGAATTTTAATAGCGGCCATTCTAAAATTTAAGATGGCGGCCACCGAGCGATAGGCCTAATAATTTTGATTGCACTGAGCTCTTCGACCCCGATAATGTTGGTTTAGACACCGAATTCATGTTTCTATGTTGAATCATAGCTAAAAAAAATTAAGGATAATAAATTTTAATGGCGGCCATTTCGAAATTCAAGATGGCACCAAGATACCATGTCGACAGAGATGGGTACCCGACATCATATGAATGTAATTATCTCAACCTACCTGTGTGCCAATTTTCATACTTTTGTCAAAACAGTGCACAATTATGTCCCTTAGCTTCTGTACTAGTAGTGACATCACGAAATTACCATCCCGCGGTTCGTTGTTAGACATACCATAACACTAGTAATAGCGTTATGGCGTTTAACCAAAATATCATAGCTTTCGCAGTGAAATATAGTGCAAAAATCCTAAAGTCGTTATAGACGTGATAATCATAATAATTGTGCTATGGTGCTTCTGACAACTCGGCTGGTTCTCCACTTAGCTACAATAACAAATTGCTAGCGCGTCCGTCTATCCACCCTATGGAAGGCAAACTTTATCATGATTCTCATTCGCCCGCGCATGCACTGAGCGCCGGCCGCAGTCTGTATCCACATCACGATGTTCTCCGAAGCCATTCTCAAAGACGCAAAATAATTGCAGAAGTAATTCGTCGTTCGGAGCCCCGCGGTTATATCATGCTGACGCTCGCAGCTCTAAGAACTCAGACGGAGTTTCCTAAGAGACCGATTATCGAGAGACGGCAAGAATCGTTTTTCTTCGATCACAGATAATTTCTCGAGGGTTTTTCGTTCGCGTATATCGTCGTCGCGCGTGCCGTGGGATTTCCCGCGAGGAATATTTCAGCAGACGACAAGGCCTCGCTTGATCTGCTTATTAAGGCGTATATTCACGCTAGGCTTTCTAAACGCTAAGGCTTATTTAACGCTAGCCCTAGAGATAGATCACTGGCCCTCGAGAATATTATAGGAGAGGGCTTGTGAGAAGACTTTGAGGTCCGAGAGAATCCTCGAGGCCCGGTAATGGGATTAGCGGCAGTACTTGAAAATCCGCAGCGATCCTGCCGAGGAGGTCAGTAAATATATGTTAGCCGGGCGACGCGTGACCAATTAGCCGGCGCATGGTGCAAGGATAGGCAGCATCCTCGCAGGATCCAATAATGCAGTTAGGCGGCGTCTCTTTGAGGTCCGAGAGGATCCTCGGAGGGGCCGGTAATGGATTGTAGCGAGCAAGACTTTGGAACAGCGGAGCGATCCTCTGAGGGGTTCAAATAATATAATTATCTCGAGCCAAGGGCTTCGGGATTGTGAAACGGCGGCATAGCGTGGTTACTCGTGCGGTCTGGCCCGTGTAATAAAAGGCGGAGCGCCTAAGAAATACAGTCGGGAATTGTTCCCACCCAGGCTCGGATACGCACGACCGCGACCACCAGCCTCTGTACTCCGTGCATGAAGTTTTCGGCAATTAAACTACAAAATCTACAGCGTTCGAACATGGTAAACGCCGGACTTCTGCTTTAATCTAGTCTTTGGCTACGAGTACGAAACATCACTATAATACAACTTATTCGAAGTAATCGTAAAAACATCGTTACAGTCGTGTGCTGGTGTGTGTGTGTGTGTGTGTGTGTGCGTGTGTGTATGTGTGTGGTATGTGCGCGCTGGCGCGCCGGCGCGCGTGTAGTGTTTTGTATGTGTATGTGTGTGTGTATCGTGTGTCGCGCGCGCGCGTGTGTGTCGGGTGTGCGTGTGTGTGTGTGTAGTGTTCTGTGTGTTGTGTGTGTATGTATGATGTGTGTGTTTACCGATAACAGTCATACGTCGATGTGGTCTGGGTAAGAGTTATCACGCTGCGATCTAAGAAAACGGAGGCGATTTGCACGCAGTACGACCGCTAGAGATGTGTTGCTCTGCCTGCGTTTACTGTGGTCTCACCCCCCCCCCCCCCCTCCCCCCCATTTGCAGAGCTGACGTGAGAAGGCACGTGGGCTGCGAGTAACGTGAGGGGCAATATCCGGTCAAGACTGAACGATAGCCTCTTTCGGGAAAAACAGAGCAGAGGCCGGGAGTTCTCGCCTGAGATGGACTCTTATAATCGATCTTCTTACCGCACGCTCACACGCACGCGACGCACGCACCAACACACACACGCACGCTCGCACACGAACGCATGCATGCCACTCGCACGCACCACGGCACGCGCACGGAGATCCACACTGACGCACCCAGCACGCACGCAACACACACGCAACACCACACACACGCACTCTCACACGCAATGCAACGTGGTACGTGCACACGCGTACGACACGCAACGACACCGGCGCACGCGTGACGTGCACACACGCACACACGCACGACACAGATCACTATCATCATCACATATCAATCAATCATCTTCATCATCAGGCTCTTCTTCTTCTTCTTCTTCTTCTCTTCCTTCTTCAATTATCTCGCTGTCATCTTCAATCTCACTCGTTAACAGCTCGTCAAACTTTTTCCAGCTGATGAGCATAATGAACTGATCTCACAATAACCGGCTCAGCCGATCGCCACTCGGCGCACACAAGTGCTCGTCACAGCGTCGCCGAACGCCTTTTGTTAACATTTTAATGACAGACGGATGAATGTCGTCCAATCATGGCTGGGTTATAGCAGCGGACGCGCGCAATTATCATTCATCCGGGGCTTTTCTTTAGCTACATGCCGGAGCAATTTTGTGGGTTTCCGTATTCTTGGTACCTGAGTGCTCTATCCGGGCTTTTCTTTAGCTACATCCGGGCATGTTCGTCGTGCAGTTTCATTCTGGTACCTGAGTGCCTCCATCCGCGGCTTTCTTAGGTACATCCGGCATTTCGTTAGGTTTCATTCTGCGCTATTTGTGGCTCGATGCCGGGCCTTTCTCACAGCTAATATCATGAGGCATTTCGCGGATTTCATTCTGCCAACTGGGGGGCCTTCCATGTGTGCGACATTGATGCTTCTTCTAGCCTCATATCGTGCCTATTTCGATGGAAATGAAGAATGTAAGAGCAGCGCTGCAACCGGTGATAAACGGGGTGATTCATCTGATCCGCCATGTCGCGGCGGACGTGCACACATTAATACACACACACACATACAACCACACCTACACACAGCACACACACACAACACACACCACCCACACACACACACAGCACACACACACACACAAATGAAGAGAGAAAGGGGCGAGAAAGAGCACACAACACACACACACACACACACACACACACACACACACACACAACACACACACACACAAATAGAGAGAGAGAGGGGAAAAGAGAGACGAGAAGAGAAGAGCGCAGAAACAGCGAGAGAGAGAGAGAGAGAGAGAGAGAGAAGAAGGAAAGGAGAGAGAGA